GGTTTGAATTTAGGATTATTTTCTTTTAGCATTTTTTACTCCATTAAGTATTACAACATTTTTCCCAAGTTCCCTCCTCCATCATTGGTAAACCAAACCAAATTGTGAAATGAGATATAACCCAGTTTTTTAGTTTAATTTCAGTGAGAGTTTCATCTTTTTAAATTGAATGTCTGTTTTGCCTCTTTGTCTGCATGTGGATCACTGACTGTACCTCATTATGTCCATCAAGAAACATACAAACAAACCGACTAGACACAAATGTAGACAAGAGCACAGCAGGTAGAGTTGCAAAGTAAACCCCCTTGCTTCACTAATTCGGCTTCCTGACAAATAAGCTTTTATGCTGCCTGCACAAAGGTTGTGCGATTGTTCAAACCAGTGCAGCGCCAGCATCAGGCTGTCAGTGACCATCAGTCAGGACTGTGTTTAACATAAGAAAAAAAGCCCACAGCGTAGAAAGCAGCTGGTACTGCCGCCGTGTCACAAACCAGCAGCACGACAAGACAATCAAAGCGACATCTTTCTCCAACCCCTAACAGGTCCCTAGAAGCATGTTCCGATGTTCGAAAAAACGTCGATTACATTGCAGGGGAAGTCTGCTTTTTTCACTATTTTTTTCAAATATAACATCCAGCAACAAGCAGAGGCGGCGCAGCAGCAACATCTGCCAACACGGACCTACCCTGGTGAGATGAGACGGCAAACAGGAACCTAATCCTCTGTGATGCTGTTGGAGTAAATGGGTAACCAGAGCCATTTTGTTGAATGTCTGCTTTCTCTCTGCTTCGCTGCAACAGTATCCCTGTGCTTAACCAAGACCTGAGGCTACACAGACCAACATGCTCATTATCAAATTAAACAAACATCTACAGAATATAAGGTTTTACCCCCCACCCCCCGCGTATGAAAAATCAATAATCCCTTCGTTAGACTAGCAGGGCCGTCAAGGGTGTAGCCCAAAGTTCAAGTAACAATAACTATGAAGCATGTCAGGAGAAATCACAAAATGCTAACATGTTGGTACAGTTTCTGATGAAGGCCTTTGCCCTCTATCATTCTTCCGTTCCCTCTGCGATACCTTTGTGGATGAGACCTGAATAACTTTCACTGACACAGTTGCTTTCCTCTCACGCTGTACTTGACGATAACCCAAAGCAAACACCTAATAATTCAATTGCTTTATCGAAGATTAAACGAAAACACATGCGCATTTCATTTATTTCAAAGGAAGTGTGTAATCTAGCTTTTGGCAGGCACCAGTCAGATATTTATCATCATCACTTTGCCAATCAACGTTACAGCTGCAGAATCTTAACGTACCTGACAATTATTACTGCATTATTTTCTTTTCAACTCGTCTTTATTCCCCCTCTAATGACTGCTCCACTGAGCAGCACCTTCATGAAGCTCAGATTTAATACCTCTGCAGAGAGCAGCTCAGACTGGACCGGTGGACTCTTGCCAGCTCCATGCTCTCTGGATTTATCTAAGGGAGCATTACTGCCCCTGTTTATAAAACAGCACAAAATATGTACCCACACAAAGTGAACACACGTAGTTGGACTACAGTAAAGCCAGTACTTCCCCACAAAGAGCAATTAATGCCAGACAAGAAGGCCCCACGGAGGCCCACTGAGTCAGCACTTTTTGGAGACCCCTGTTTGTAAGACTTCATCAGTGTCCATGGAGGGACCTCCAGGACCAAAGTGAGCCGTGCTATTTTTACTAGCTGCTGACCACTCACACGCATATAGAAAGGACAGGTAAGCTGTAGGATGACCTTCTGATGTCAAACAGGGAGCACAAATGTTGTTTATTTCCTTACAAGTCGTTTAACTTTGACATTGTTTCTGGTTATTTTCAAATGCACTTTTTCACTACATATGAAGGTTCTGTGGGACGTGAACGTCTGAGACAATATCCAAGTGGTTCAGAAAAAAAACCCGACAGAAATAATGAAAGCAGAGCCATCTAAAGAGAGATGAAAGGATATGATCAGAAACTCCAAAATAGTTGAGGCCTACAGAGCACAAACAGTTGGAGTTTAATATGCCTGCCCTTTAAATGGCTGTCAAAAGCATCAAAAACCACTCAATAAAACTAGGAAGAGCATTTTCAGCATAAAATTGTTGGCCTTTTCACATAAATTATATGTACCAGTGAAATGCTAAAAGGTGAAAAGCTAAAAAGGAGAAATTCACATGCTGGATCAATTATGGAGCCAGTAGGAAAACCTGTCTTCTAAAGACAAGCAAAGGGAATAGAGCATATCTTCCAGGAGTTAGAACTAAAACAATAATCCGCTCATCAAAGTCAGAAATATTTGCAAAAAGTTAAAACGAGCATTTTACCAACAACATCCCACTCATACAGGTTCACCAGAAATAGTCAAACAGACTCTTGACTCTATGTAACGCACAATAGATGTCCATGAGCAAAAGTCTGATCCCGAGACTGACACCAAAATCCCCACCTTGAATCAAGGCTTCACACGCAGGAAATTGTGTGGTATGTGATTCAATTTATCACAGCTATGAAAGTCATTGACAAGCTGACTACCTAAAAACAGATATGTCTGAGCACATGTCTGGGAAATATGGTCAGTTAATAACCTGATGTGAGGCTGTATCAGTGATGGGGCAGGGGATTTAAGAGTTACAATCTCCTAGAGCCGAGCTTCATAACATGGTGTGGAAGTGATTATGGTCCTTAAGCTCCCGTGACATGGATATCTCCTGGCTGTGCAGCGCTCTGTCAGAGGATCATACTTTAATCTGATTGTAAAGACACTAGGTATGACACAGGCGCCTCAGGAATGTAACCTGTCATTTATATCAATTACGAATGGATTCAGTTGCACATGATCAGGAGGGCTAAGAAATTTATCATTATTCAGTTTCAATAAGTAGACATCAGTGCTTGAAAAAGAGAAAAAAAGGAGCACCATTTAGACTATTTGATAAAGTTAGCGCACTGAGATCAACTTGGACTCTAAAAATACCAAAAGCATCCAAATGAGCTATTTTCCGAAGGTTAAATGTTTTGGAGTTCTAATTTTTGTTGACAGATCGTTTAAAGGTACAAGAGGAGATTATAAAACAAAAAAGAATCGAATGGAAAAGTTAAGGTGAAATACCTCATCAGACTTTATTAGCTTCATAATCATCAAATCAACAACAGCGAGCAGTGGGGGATTTAATCCCAAGTACATCAGCACCATAAAAAGCCAGCAAGCTGAAGTGCCCTATTTTTGACTAAATAATTGGCTAACCACCTTCACCCCCAGCCTCCTCAGACAACACTGTGTGGGTTTAATGACACACATCCCTACCAGCCTGTGCCAGCTGGCACGACACAATCCCTGGCAGGCTTGGCCTTTGACGAGAGAAGAAGTGGACCACTTTAACCTCACAGCTCTCAATAACCTCCCATAAGCTCCTAACAATTTCTGCTGGAACTGGGAAAGGACGGCACTCTCAACGTCCAATAGCAACACCATCCCAGAGAGCGGCTTATGAATTCCAAGTTAGACAAATAAATCCATACATGTTTGCGGTTCAGCTGACCAGGAATCCTCATGCCAACATTTAGTTTGTGATCATCTAAAGTGGGCAGCACGTATATCAACATTCTCCAGAGTACATGAAAAAACATATGGAGTCAATAAAGCAAAAGGCCAAAAGGGGGGGTATGAAACAGAATTTAAATAAATACAATTTAAACTTTTCTTCTTCTGCATCCAGGAGTAATGTTAGCACAAAGTATCATCTAGTATCTGCCTGTTTCACAGAGATGTTTCGGCTCAGTTTTAAATTTGGAGCTTCCCGTAAGCTGGGTTTACAAATGCAGTTACATCAGCTGCCCTAATGACAACACCTTAAAGGCATTCAGCAGAGATCAACCTGCCCACAACCTACAAGGGGTTTATATTACATCATTACAGCCACTTGACAAGGGAGGCCAGGTATTTCAGGGGCATGAGAAAATGATTGACATGCAGACAAATGCTGCAAAACTGACGGCAGAATACATATAAGACTTCGACATCTTAACATTGTACTCTGTCAACACGGCACAAAGCTAAATATGTGTTTTAATTTGTGATCAATCAGAAATAGCATGTAGTAAGTGGCAGATAAAATGCTCTGATGAGCATGAGGACAACAGGTTTCTTATTGGACTCAACTGTGCTTCTTCAACAACTCAAAAAGATGAAAAACCTGTGAAACCCAGAGACCCAGAAGAGGGAATAAAGCCTGTCCCACACATTTTCAGCTGAACCCCCTCCACCCCTCCCTCCACTGGCAAGCAGAGCTCATTCAGCTAAGGCCCGGAAAAGGGATTACTCGACTAATTCGTCCAGAATCCAAATAGGTATCATTATGATTCAAATCGCTATAATAGGATCAAATTAGGCAAAGGAATATAGCATGCGGGATATTAATATGTATCCCCATAGCCAAGTGTATCAGTTCTGTCTTATCTTGCTTAAATTTTTATGCCTCCCTCAAAAACAGTAATCATATTGTAGTGATTACGTCTGACTGTAAAGGCAGAGAAAAGTATTTGGAGACCATTTTAAAGCCAAATTCTTGTAATCAAAAACTTTCAAGTCGCTTATGTTTAAAGAATTTTTTTCATACATTTCTCATGGTCGACGGCTAATTTCAAGCACAGCAGCGGGAACTCTTTATTCCTGGACAATCAGAACCTGGCAAGTCATGAACATTACTATATCCACCTGCTAAGCAGTGCCAGTCCCTCGTACATTTTCAGCCTGCTCTGGCAGCACTCCAAGCTGCATCTTTTTGAAGTGTTAAGAATATATGACCAACGTTTTATGGCAGCATTCAAGTTTATTTCAGTGTTTCACTTCAGCGCAGTAACGGAGAATGTTTCTCATTTCAGCTAACTGTGTACAGGCAGCGTTTAGATTTTGAAGTTTGGCGATTGCAAGGGAAAATTTAAGAGAGGCAGACACAGAGGTGATTGTTATCTTACCCGCCGTCCTCCTGAAATCCCTCCATTTCATCTCTCTGCTCCGCCAGGGTAGACTCCAAATCCAAGTAGCTTCCATTATGGGACAGCTGGAGGGCACAGTCATCAGGCTGAACAGGAAAAAAGAAAAGAAGATAAAGTTATGGAAGGCTTGTTGTTGTACACTACCCAAAAAAACAAAGATTGTCATTCCTTATATTAAAATAAACTTATATAATAAATAAAACCTGTTTTTTTTTTTGTTTTTAAAAGGTGGAAATCTAACCCATTGTCAGACAAATAAATCATCATTGTTCATTTTATTGGCTTTATTATTTTGATTAACCATTGCTACAAGTGCTCCACCATGACCAGCTGAGCATAGCTGCTGAGATGTCTGGAGCCTTTTATCTCGCTGCCCCCACTGTCTGATAAACTATCATCACGCTGGAAGATTTTGCAGAGGAGGTATGATTTGTCTGGTCTTGAACGGTTGTCATCACCTGACTGTGGTCAAAGAGATTAAAAATGAGAGCGTGTGCTCACTTGTCTGGTTGACCTCCAAATTGGAGATATTAACCTATTTATATGCGGGGTCTGTCAGCTCCACAGGGCAGCGGCACCAACAGAGAAGAAGAAGACAGGAAAACAAATACCATTAAAGGAGTGAAAACATATGACTTCAGAGGGGAGATTGGCTCAGCTCTGCCAGAAGTTAGGTTGTGTGAAGCAACACACTGTAAGAGCATATCTTTTATGACAGGTAGCATAGATCCGGATACACCAACGTCTGCACACGCCAAGCCAACATGATCTGAACTCTCAATGAGTAACATATATCAAAATAGATATGTAGCATATCAAACCAAATGTTTTTTACAAGGACAGATGCACTTTTACCTCCAATCACATATGAGAGTAATCTAATTAAATGTGAAAGAAAAATGCTGGGAAAGACATTATGGCTTTGATGTGTTCAGCCACTCTGTTTGTATTGCTGCTCTCCTCAGTCCTCAAGGACTGTCATATCTGGGAACTGAAACAAAACATGTGGTTGGTTAGGGCAACTCACTCCGCTTCCCAAATAGTTCTATGACTCTGGGCCATCTTGTTGCCTTTCCATGCTTGGTTAACCAAAAGACTATTGGTGTTTAAAAAAAGAACATCAATAACAAAAAATAAGGTTGTAGAACTATAGGTCTGAACATTGCCTTTTTGAACAGCAGAGACAAGACAAAGTAAACAGCTGAGGAGGTCACACATTAGAATTTTTTTTTTAAATAGATTATAGCTGATGTTCATTTGGTGAAGCAGACAGATAAAGAGACAAAGGGAGACAGGTAGAACAGAAGACAGGGTGAGGAAGCAAGCGATTTTCCAGATTACAGGATTCCCAGGAAATCCAAGCATATGGGATCAAATTAAGCCTGCTGTTTTTAATTTGGATTGTAACTGCTGGATATCGAGTCCATCTCAAGGGGATATGATTATTTAAAAGCAGCAAACATACTAATAAAGGAAGTACTTGGTTGGGAAACAAATATATAAACTTTTTAGTGTAACCAGTGTGGTGTTATGGACCTCGTAGCTTGTGGCAATAGGTGTAATAGTGCTGCAAGAGGACAATTCTGAGGAGAAAATTTAAACAATATAGGACATTTAAGGACATCCATGAGTGGAAAATGGAGAATTATCTGCCAGAATTCAACTACATCTCCAAAAATATCAAGGGAATTCTATCATGCTCTGATGCTGGTCACTTGCATGAGTTTACTGATCGATATCTCAGACTAGAAACATCTGGTAAGTCATGTCAGTTTTAGCTTTTGCCAGGTCAGACATAATAACAAATTTGTGTATGTCACCCTTCAATTCAGGTCCATTGAAAGAGGCAAAGTGTCTGAAAATGTTTGTGCATCTGTGCTTACCACAAGACACCCCAGGACCAAACTGAAGCAGCAAGCGAGAAATGAAAAAATTACCTGTATAACCATATCAGTCGGCAAAGTTGTTGATATGTGCATTTATGTTTTAAAAAAGAAATCAAATCTGATAGATTACTGTTGTTCAGTTTCTGGCTCTGTGTACATCTTAAATGGATCTTTGCACTTTAATTACTGACTTTATCTGTATCACAACCTTAAAGAGACCAAACATTGGGCTATAATTCCCACTGTAACCAGTAATTAAGCAACTGTGAAACTATGAAATGCCTTTCACCTGACATGGCTTTTACTCGTGTCCAAGACAAACAGAGGCAGCCAACTCAAAGCTAATTATGCAAGTTTGCCACCCATCCACTCTTACATATACCCACACATCCAATCCATGTCCCTTTAGGTGCTCATTACATAATCAACTCGGATTACCAATTACAGGTATTGCATTGTAAAACCAGGTCAGGATGATGCAATTTATCTATATCCCTTAATCCAGGAATGGGCAGGAGTACTGTTCACAGATTATCAGAAGTAGAGACTTCTTTAGCTATCTTTTACCCAGAACTTGAACCCACATTGGCCCTGTCCAAAGAAGTCCAAGTCAAAAGAAGTAACCACAAGAACTCTGCTCACACACTGAAGTCTGGCCTTCCCATATTGTGGTCCACTGACCAGGGAGGCAGTGGAGGCAAAAACGCCTAAAAATAAACACCATGCAATTTTCAATTTCAAGCTGCTGTCTCATTTCAAGTTTCTCTCTGTTCAGTTGGAAGGATATCAGAAATGTACACATAGCAAATTCATAACCCCATAAAAGGCCTATTTTTTTCATTTTATAGAAATGCAGTGTTACCCACCTTACCAACTTGCATTTGAATCATCAGTGGACTGCACACCCCAAAAAAACCGATTACAATCACCCACTTTTAAAGTCTTTGATTAAGCTATTAGTGGTTTAAAACACACCTGATGCATGAAGGAGACACCACAATTGGAATCTTTAGTTCCTGTCAGGTTTGCAGAGAATTCATTCTTTTAAAAGGAGCGCTCTACAGAGACAACCTTTAAAATACAGAGTGCAGCAAAACCTCAACTCTGCATGACAATGTGTAAAAGAATTCAAAAGGAGGAACCTGTATTTTACAGCTTAAAAAAAGAAGACATTCTCTTATGGGACAAGCTGAAAAACAACACTCCCAAAATTGGAAATTTATAAAGTCAGAGTCCAACCATGATAAACAGCATATTTGGACTATCCATAACAAATGCCTTTTTGAGATTATTCTGTTTCTAATCATAAATGCTCAGGATTTCTAGGATTTCAACGGGGCAAATGCCATAAAAGAAGATCAAACCCTGCTCTTTGGTTTGAAACTTCATAGCAGCTTCACTATGTTGCCTCATGTACCACCAATGAATAAATAAAAAAGAATCAATTTCAAACAAATGCACATCTCTTCTTGTGAATCTTTAGAGGCTAACAGCAACAGTAAATGTAGACAATTTAAACCCCCTGAACACAATGAAATCCCAGTGAACGATACATGAGTTTGAATTACAACAAAGACAACAAAGTGCAACAGCTTTGGTGTTTAGAGGCTCTTAGCAGAAATAAGCCGCCTGCTGTATAACCTCAGTATATCATTTTTACATCAGAATGGCAATGTGCTGACTTTAATTTTCATGTAATTCTTAATTTATCATATTCTAGAAAATACATGGTTTCCTGGTCGGAAGGCTCGACCACCAGGGGGCGACATGCTGAGGGGAGACCTTTTCAAAGTAACATCATTACTGTCTGTTCTTATTTTATGTTGGTCCTGTATGTGACAACTAACCATTACTGACCAAAAAACACAGCCTCTTCACAGGCTCAAATACAAGTACGGGTTTTTACTTTGCAAATATGCAGATCTGTCTAGTTAAACTGAAACCAGTTGACAATGCAAATAGATAGACAATATTAAAAAAGTGATTTTTCTTTAATCCTCCAAGCTTCCATCTCCTCTCTTACAACTTAAAATGCCCTCAACCGATCCTGCAGGTCACAATGAGGGGGCTGAAAAATGGGAAGCAGACGCTTGTGGTGATCCACAGCATCCTGAGGCATCCATGACTTATCGTACCAGCTCTACATCAACGAAATGGAATAACACTGATCTGACAGAATGAAGAAAGATGCTAATTAAATTTCAATTTGTGTGGCTCCCCAACCAAACTAAGACGAGCGCTCAAAAAGAAAACTCAACCTCAAATGTAAAGTCTGTTGTGCGTTGTTTAAATTTGAAGGTCAGTACATGTGGATTTACAAAAAAGTGTTTGAATGCAGATTGTAAATCCAGAAAGTATTTAAAAAATGTAAAAAAAGAAAAAGGTAATTTTTAAAGAGACTTTCAAGAGTACCACAAAAGACAGAAAAGAAAAAGAGCCTCAGGTTTATGTTATTTCTCATTTACTTTCTTTGGAAAAAATTCTAACAGGGCAATTACACCATTCCAAAGAGGAACATTCAGTCAATTCGAGTTTATTGCAACTGGCAAAAATGGTTGTGGTTCCAGGGAAGTCTAACTTTGCCTCCAGAGTAATGCGTTTAAATAAACCTCCTCAAACAGTTATTAATGAATAAATACGAGGGATGAAACAGTGTCCAGCTATGGCTAAATTAATTTTCTTCTGAAAAAAGACAACACCATTGCATTCCACTTAAGTATGAAAACACAAAACCAACAAAAAAAGGACAAAAATAAAGAAACAGAGAATGCCCTCAATGTCAACGTGTTAGGGTCACAATGTTGTAAATGCCAACTGCAGCTCTCATCAATCACTGAGAAAAAAAATGCCTTGCCTCTTGCCTACCAAACTGAGCATTTGACCCACTATAACTGGCTTTATGTTGTGACAATGGCACAAGTGGCTTTCTCCATGGAATTCAGGCCTGTCCAACCGGGACAATAAATGCAAACTCTGCCTTCTTTCTTATCAGAAATTCGGAAAGATTCAAGCCCGGTCTCAAATTAAGTCAGAAATAAATACATATAATACTTTCTTCAATATGATCCTACTTGGGTAAGTTAAAAAGCAGTTTGAAATTAATAATACTACTTTAATCATTAGAATATGAAAACAAATTACCTTTAAATATTAACTTTTGCCTGCATTTAAACAGAAGGGGTCCAATAACATTATCTTCACCATTTATTAATCATTTATTTATTTCATGACAAGTGCAAGCTGATCAATCAGCACGTGCAAACTGCATCAGTCCACTTGTTCATTGGTCCATTAGTTTGTTTGGTAGCCTAGTAACCCCATCAACGCAGCTGAGCTTAATCATTAATTTAACTGTGGGTGTAATCCTTCAACTATAGGCTCAGTCAGAGAACTGCGAACAGCCACAGCACGCAGACTTAAAAGGGTATTCGCGTACCTTCTGCGGAGCTTTCAGCAGCCTGTGGACTCCGGCGATCTGATTGATCAGGGGAATGTCTTCCCTGAAAGTGTACAGAGGTGGCCTGGTAGGCTCGGGGAAATTGGTGCTGTTGAACGGATCCGTATCATCTAAGAACTGCACCCTGCATATAAGCGTAGCCATGGTGCATCCATGCAGGGCGATTTTAGATCCGCAAAAATAGTGGGATGCGACGCTGAAAGCCTCTGACAGACGCGCAGCCCCCCTCCTCCCCCTCTTCCTCCCCCTCCTCCTCCTCCTCCTCCGGGGCTGCGAACTACCGGCAGGTCCTCTGCAGTAGCAAAATCCCGCACCCTGTTATCCTTGGAGCGTCCCCATTAGTTTCATGCGGCGCGGATGTCCAGAAAGTGGAGATCCAGGACAAGGCGCAGAGGGACAGCCGGTCAGAGGGGGGGCGGACGCCGGCTCGGAGGGCGCTGCGGGCGGCCGGGGTGCTGAGGCGGACTGCGGAGCGCGGACGGGACTGCTACACTTGGCGCCTGGTCTGTGTTTGAGCGATGGGAAACGGCTTCCAGTTCAAACCCTGCCAGGGGATTTAGCAGGCAGCGCACAGCCGGCCCGAGCGCAGCTCAGATTACAGGCCAAATTGCGGACTCTAGTGGAGGGAATTAAAACCAACGTGGACATCAGAGTGTGGAGCTACTGATGGCAGAGCTGGAACTTTGCTCTATGTTGTCAACTACTTCATATCTGGAAAGGGAAATATATTAAATGTATGACACACTCTGCTTTGACTTTCATTTTCTTCAAGCAAGATTTGAATTTATACTTGTGGTATGTCATGAATACCATGGTATCCTAATATGTTGGGTGTATGAAAATAACATTTAGTAAAGTTAAAACAAACTAAAGACCAGATAAGAATATAGGAAAAAGTACAACACAAATACACAAAGTCATTGATAAAAAGTACATCACCAAACTGTTTATAAATCACTATGACACGCTATCATGCTTTTGAAAGCCACTTTTTTGTTGTCACAATCAGTGTGAGAAAGGGAAATATAAACAGACTCTCTGAAGGCATAGACACACAGGACAAAAACATACTTGATAAAATTCATTGAACAAATCCAAAAGACTGGGAATGAAGGAAGGAAACAGGACAGGCTTAGGACTTAGGAATGATGACAAACTGGCAAAGAACATTGATAACAGGGTAATAGGAGTAACACTTACCAGGAAGGTATAATTGACAGATAAAACGAACGCGTGGGAAATATAGTTAATTTAACAGGTGTAAATTAGAGGCAGGAAATAGAACAGACAATAGAGCAAGTAAGTCTATTTGGAAATCAAACAGGATGGAAAGCTAAAATACATGGACAAGAAACATGAGAAAATTCATCTAATGAAATATCCTTTATATGTAAAAAAGCAACTGCAAGTAAATGTATAATAGGGGACGTCAGTGATCTGTGATAAAAAAAAGGAGTGAGTTTGACCTTATAAAACACTTTAACCCCGTCCAGCTCACTGCAGGCGCCCAGCTGATGCTTTCTGACTCCTTAGCCCAGTCAATCCATCACAGAAGTCCAGCACATAGGATCTCATAGCGTGAGCTACGATTTGCATTCCAGCTCGGGACAGAGCTCTACTGTATCTCTACAATAATACAGTGTTTGACAGATCATGAATCTGACGCTTCCCAACCCTAGACAGGATATTGTCCCATCAGCAGCTGGACAGGCTGAGAGGAGGAGGAGTAGGCTGGAGACAGACCAAAATGAGAAAAAAAGGCCCAGTATATGCCGACCCATGTGGGGTTTAGTGTGGGATTCAAAAAAGTGTGGTACTTCCCCAGATCATGGCAGCTTTTTGGAGGAGGCGAGTGATGCTTTCATGCTTTAAGTAAAGCCTCTCTTCACACCACATTAGAGCAACTTTTCTCACGTTATTCAGGTTGTCTGAGTCCATTCTAGAAAGCAAATCTAATTGTAAGAACTTTTGAACCTATCAGGACAACAGTGATTCCTGAATTCACTAGAAATTAACACATTTATTGACATGCCGAGCTTCTTATAGCACCACCATTCCCCATCAATTCTATGCAGATGCCTGTAAGTTTGTGCAATGATTGATTTTCTTTCTAGATGGGAATATATCTGCCTGGGATGTCTTGACAGAATGTTCCTCTTCAGGTTATGCTGCAGAATCTCTGTATGATGACGCTTCTGAGTTGTCTACATTTTGTATGTCACTGTTTTGCCTTTCTAATCTGTACTGCAAAACTAATTTAAATAGTCTAAGTGAATTTTGAAGGGGTTGTTAAAATAACACATTTTCTCTGCCTGGATAGTGAATATATTTCTGCTAAGAGACATGGAGAGTACAATTGTTTGTTAATTGTTTGGTCATTTTTCCATGTAGTTGGCCTAAATAAAAGACATTTCACTAATTTCAGTTCTTAAAAAACAGTAAATAGGGTTAGGTGATATAAATACAGTCATTTACATTTTTGTGACATTCTCCACACACTGTAATTCCAACATGTAATAGAGAAGATACTTCTTGTAATACTTTACCTTCAGAATGTCATAAATCTTTCATGGCTTGTATGTAATGAGGAACCAAACTTTTATGCAGAAGCAATCAGGAGAAAGAAAGAACCTTAGACTAAAAAAAAAAAAAACTGAGGCCAGGAGCCAGAAAACACAAAAAAAGAGGGAGTGGTTGTAGCAAAGGCTTGATTGAACAGGACACAGGTGTGGAAGTGGAGATCAGAACCAAAACGAGTAGTAATGACCAAAGCAGGAAGCATAAACCAAACCCAGAGAACAACCTCAGACAAAATACCCACCAAGAACACAGACAAAAAGGAAACCGAGTATTTCAAAGAAACAAATGGCTAAGAACACGTTCTGCTCCAGTGAAGGTACAGACATCTGTCCAGCTGGGGTCGCTGTTGTGATGCAGCATGTGTGAGGGGTGGTCGGCTTGAAATGTGGTTAAATCAGATCTGAACTAAATATAGCTGACATCTTTTGTGAAAATTGTGAAAGTTTTCATCATTTCAACTTAAGTAAAAAAATTATTACTGTTAGCTTAATAGCATTTGTGTGAAAATGAAATAAATGTAAAATGAATCCTGTAACAAACGACAACAGTTTTGTGTTATTCTTGTGTTCAAATACAGGTTATTGCTTTGTCATTGATCCACTTCAGATAATGTTTTTTTTTATTTAAAGATACAATGCTGAAAGCAAAATCTTTGTATCTCCTCACAGGACATTTTTTCACCTCTTAGGATAAGTGAAGTAAAATTATTTGTCCTTGCCTCCTCTGCCAACCTTTTAAAGCTTTCCAAATCCACCACCATTAGTGCCCCCTGTGCTTAAAGTCTGGATCCTCTTATCACTGAACACAATGTGATTAATAATTTAACCGAATGGCATAAAGTCTTAAAAATGGATTATTACTTATAATGCTTTTTGTGTATATTGCATGATTAGAGTTGAGAGTTGGATATTTTTTGGCACAGTGGAGTCAACATTCAACTCAGACTGAGTCCTGGGACAGGCTGCTCTTTTTTTAACCTTCATCTGTGTTTATTGGGAAAACTGGAAAGGTAATTCATCATTGTGAGGGGACACTAAAATTAAATGCTGCTTTTTGTCTGTAATCTAACAGCACGGATAGCAACAATTACTTGAAAAGTGTTGGTGTCAACAGAAGCACTGGCTTTTGTAATCCATAAGGGAAAAAGAACACATAAATATATAAATTCCAATAAGCAGAAAAGTGCTGATTTCTTTGAGGAAAAAAAAAACTATGCTCAGCGGGATGCGGTTGGCAGCAAGACAAATTGTGTTGTTTCACCTGTATTCAGAACAGCATCTTACCCTAGCACACAGTATCGACCATCATGGTGCATACTCTGAGAGCAAGAACACATTTAAAACTTTTTTTCATCAATAAAAAAAGAAACAGTTACTATATTCTACAAAATGTCTATCTGAATATTTAACAAGAACAATGAACATTTTAAGCTACTTCACATCAGTGGTCTGAATTGCCAACGATGTATGCATATAATATTAACATGCATTCATCACTTAAAGATCCGAAGCTTCCATTATTTAAATATTTTCACGCCTTTTTTTTTTTACAAAATGTGACTGAATGCATTCCGTATGTTAAATGTGAAATTGGAAAAATAAGACATTGTCATAATAACTATATCGGTCTTGCAGTTCTGCAAAATAAAACATTGATTTTGTCTCCATATTCAAAGACTTAACTGTGCAGGTGGAGGATATTTATGTTCAAAACAAGATCATATCAATACAGAGTAATATCCCTGACAAAAAAAGGATAACAAAAGCCTGAACCTGTATTTGTGTTATTATTTGACTAAACGGTAGACAAAAGTTAATTTCCTGCATAGATGTTTTGACAGATAACAAATGGAGCATAATGCATACGAGTTGTTTGTGATTATTTCCCCTTTCTTGAGAGCTGATGCCAGTGTTTTTAACATCCATGTCTTGTATTAATCACACACGCCATCTTGTTGATAATGTTCACAAAAAGAAATAAAAAAAATTGCTAAGTCACAACAAAAGTGATCTAATACTCTCTGCTCCATGCAAGTACAAGGTGACCCAGCTTTGCAGGAGCATCCTTTGTGAGTCTTTGTGACAGGTTAACAGGGTGGAGAAGCAGAAGTTCTGTACATGCGTGAGAGAGAGTGCATACATGTGCTCATGAGCCATATGTGTGTATTTTGAGTCATACGCAGTTACGCAGTTGTCCTTTTTTTGTGTGGACGGAGATATTGTCCGTCGAGTGTCACATGCTTTGGAATATGCTGGCTGCCTTTGTTGTCTCACTGCCTGTTCTGCTTTTCTGGCACTTTCATACAATGGTGCACTTGAACACTGGGATGTTAGTGAGCCCTTCAAACTACTACAGCATGAATTCCAGCTCTCAGGAAAGACGGCTATCCTAATGTAGGACACATGGCAGAAGATACATCATCGAGGAGCAGCAGGAAGGACTGAGAGTAGCATCCAATTTAAGGTGATGTATATGATGTAAATATCATAGAAAACTTGTTAAGTCTGCAAAGACGTGGTGTTAAAAATTAACGGAAGGAGATATGGGCACGAAAAAAGTGTGTGCTTCATATGTTGCTTCACTGTAGCCACAAGTCGACTTCTGGCGCTGTTGTTCTCTCTGTACTGACACTCATAGTGATGGAAGACTGACTGTGGGACACGTCTGCAGCAAATAGATATTTTTGACATACAGTCCTTCTTCAGGAAATGTCCCAGCGAGAGGACACCTCCCACCGTCGTGGGTCTGTGGTCCAGTTTGAATTAGATGACACCAGGGATTCCAGACCTTCAAAAGCAAAAGGCATACCAGGTGAACTCTAAACTTTAAATTCATCTAGCTGTTGTTGTAATGTGTCTCAGTTACGTATGGATTGAGCTCATTTCACTCTCATACATTTCTTTCAAAGGTTCAGCTCTCATCTACCTCAAAGGTCCAAAGTTTCTTATCTATGTCAGTGGTGCATTGTCAATGTGGGTAAGAAACATTTCCAGAATAAACAGATTTGTGGAATAATAGATAAGTAAGCACAGCTGAATGATAGTTTTCTTTATCATAAACTGTGTGACAATATTCTGCCATGTTTCTGAGGACCATATGACGAAGGCCTTTTATCTTGTCTTAAACAGGGTGACCGCATGTGGCACTTTGCAATCTCTGTGTTCTTGATTGAGCTGTATGGTCATAACCTGCTGCTGACTGCGGTGTTTGGATTGGTGGTGGCGGGATCAGTGCTGCTGTTTGGGGCTTTGATTGGAGACTGGGTTGATCGAAACCCAAGGAATAAAGGCATGTGAGGCAATTTCTCACTCAATTGGAAATGTTAGCATGTAGCACATATCACAGAGATGGTAGGGATACAGCTCATCTTGGGTGTCCCACTGGATGGTAAATTCCATTCGCCCCATGCCTCAGATGATCTGACAGCTAAATGCAAACAGCAGGACAGCAGGCACAAGTTTAACAGACACTGACACTGTCACCACTACTATACATTTAAAAAAAACTAATTTTGTATGTTTGAAATTTTGAAACAGTATTTCCTGTCTTCTATTTTAGTTGCACATGCATCACTTTTCATTCAGAACACCTCAGTGACTGTATGTAGCATTGTGCTCATGTTGGTGTTCTCGTATAAACAAAGGATTGAACAGATCTGGGATGGATGGCTTACTGTAAGTAGACAATATATATTAGCTGCATTATCATAACATGATATATAACCCTGAATTCGCTAAATGTTGAACTGTACACAAGAGACTCAATAACCAATCGTCATTGTAGACAGGAGCTGTTACTGTTGTTGTTCCCTCTGTCCTGTGTCCCTTTTGATTCTGCTTCTGAGCTTGTGGCTACTCTGTGCTGTCATAGTAACATGTTGCATCGCAAAACTCACACAAGGTGGTTTGTTATACGGTGGTGATCGTCCTGGCAGATGTGGCTAACCTTGCAAGCACAGCACTGACCATTGCCATTCAGAGGGACTGGATTGTGGTGATCACTGGCTACAATCGGGGTCACCTAGCTGGTGAGGAGATTTGTTTAGTTGATGCACATGTTGAACTTTATCCCATCTGTTACACTCTTGCTGGTTGCACATGATAACCTACCTGAACTGAAGGAAATATCAATCACGGATCCTGTTTTTGTTGAAAGTTCAGAGGACACACTTTAACCCCTGTATTTGACCCTTACAAAAGGAATGAATGCAACCATGAGGCGGATAGATCAGGTGACCAACATCCTGGCCCCGCTCGCAGTGGGACAAGTCATGACCCTGGCCTCCAACGTGGTTGGCTGTGGCTTCATCCTGGGGTGGAACCTCTTCTCTCTTATTGTGGAGTTCTTTTTCTTGTCGAGGGTATACCGCATTGTCCCTGCCCTATCTGTCAAACCCCCAACAGCTGAGGGTGACCAGACACACCTGGAGAGGACCGAGGGGAGAAGCCCGCAAGGTATGGACTGCATAATATAATTTTGTAAACTATTTAGAATTTGCCTTGGTTTGACAACATTCATTAGAACATTCATTGGAACTGAAGGAGAAGTCTCCATAAGATTCTTAGAATGTGCCTGAGGATCAAACCATTTAGTCCCACGCCAACTTAGGTTAAAACATTAGCTATGATTACTTGTAGTTGATTGAAAAGATCACATATTTGTTTTAGACTTGATAATAAAAGAAAAGCCACACGACAATAATTTTCTGCTTTCTCTCAGCAATTCAATCACAAAGTTCCCCTTCCAAAGGTCCAAACAGAATAGCTGTAGGTTTAAACTTTACAGTTAAATTCCAGTTTCACAATTATAAAAATGCAAGGCAGATACAGATATAAACGGACCAAACTGTAAGTTTCAATTAAGCATTCATTACTCCACAGTTCATGTGGCTGGCATTTCAGTAGCAGCTCACGTACATCAGAGTAGATGGACTGTACTTGACAGATGAAGTAAGGTTTGGCATGGAGCAGAGATGGTGCAGAAAAGAGAGTGAGGATGGAGCCTTTAGAATTGATTGGCTGAAATGATGGATGTCTTGCTTCTTTTTCATTAGGGGAAGGCAATGTTGCCCAACCTCATCCTCTGCCAGAAGAAAACTCCAACTCAAGCGTGCATAGAAAAGAAATCACCAACCTGCCACTGTGTTTTCAGAGGTTTCGCTGGCTGATGAGCACATGTAAAGATGGCTGGAGGGCTTACTATCGTCAGCCCGTTTTCCTGGCAGGAATGGGTCTGGCCTTTCTCTACACGACAGTCCTGGGGTTTGACTGCATCACTACTGGCTATGCATATACGCAGGGCATCAGTGGCTCTCTCCTTAGTGTGCTTATGGGTGTGTCAGCTATCACAGGGTTGATGGGCACCGTGATGTTCACCAAACTCAGGAAGACCTATGGCCTAGTTAACACAGGCATCATCTCCAGCTGCCTCCACCTGGGCTGCTTGTTGCTCTGTGTGTGCTCTGTGTTCGCTCCTGGCAGCCCTATGGATCTTAGCTTGCTGATGCCCTACTTTGCCTCCAATTCCTCTGTTGAGCCTGGGGAGACTGCAACCCAAAAGCAAAAACACGCCTATCCTCTGACAGGAGGGAGAAATCAGCCACTGCTTCCTGATCGCTCCTCCATTCACTGGACCAACAACACTGTTCTATTTGACAATGTGCCCTCTGGAACAGCACCAGAATCATACATTTCCATTATTCTGCTGTTCTTGGGTGTCATCACAGCACGAATTGGTGAGTATAAGAAAAAACAAAAGCTGGCTGAATTTGGTTTAGGAAATTACAATTGCCCAAGACTAACCAAGGTAGAGATGTGTGATAGAGAGGATTTTAGCACTAAGATACCCTCTGTATTGGTATGTCAGGTAGATATTCTTGGTGCAGATGGTGCGTTAGAAAAGTGAGTAAAGTCCAAGTAGTATAAATGGCTTTCTAATGTTCAGAACTTTTTAAGCACGATTAAAAACTTTGTTTTAGGTCTGTGGTCTTTCGACTTGACTGTGACACAGCTTCTGCAAGAGACCATCTCTGAGTCAGAGAGAGGAGTGGTTAATGGGGTGCAGAGCTCTATGAACTACCTAATGGACCTTCTTCACTTCATCATGGTGATCTCCGCACCCCAGCCAGAACACTTCGGCATCCTGGTGATCATTTCTGTTTTATTCATCACCACCGGGCACTCCATGTACTTCCTGTATGCACATAAAGCTAAGAGAAAGCATCGCCTCGACAGGATTCACACATGAAATTCGCCCCAGCACTGTTTTCCTTCTGTTCCGGTGAAATGATTGCCCCCCTTCTACTCTCCCTGCAACACCTTGCTCCTGACTCAGCCATTCATTTCTGCACAACACAGCAAGTGTCTATCTCGCCTCAGATGCTTCCTTGTGTGGCACAACAGCAGTTATTCTGGAGAAGAAGAGTGGGAGACAAGATCTCCATTCTGGTTAACATATTGAGGTGATAACAACAAAAAGAAATGCTACTAGACAATCGCCTGGGGGAATCTAATCTATCAGACAACAAGACACAAAAGTATCGGCTAAAGCATCAGTATATGCCTGCACAAACTCCAGGAGATACTGCAGCTTTTAAGACTTTCAGATAAGTCAGTGAACTTACAAGGCTATTGTGGGGGTGCATTGGGTGGGGTGGACAGATGGGGAGATTTTCTCATCTTCTATCAGTTCAAAGTTGTTATGGGGAAGAAAACTAAGGTGATTAATGATGATGAAGACAAGATAAAAACTGCATTCTCACAAGTGGCAATGATGTTACTGATCCGTCCACTTGGAAATATTCCAGGATGTCCAAAAAGGAACATAAAGGGAACTTGATGTGAGATTGTTTACTTTTTTAAAAAAAGAAAAAAAGAAAGGCAGCCTCCCCTTTTAATGGACAAAGTGAAAGGATAAGAGTATTCACTTCCCCTGGTTTGTTTCTCTGTGGATGAATCATGTGGACATTTGCCTTTCCTATATATGTGTAAACCTTTTTTATGATGACATCATGGGTCACGGCAGGTACTCTAGTCAGACTGTCACAAAATCAATTTTACCTTAACTGCTTGTGTATTTTGAGAAATAAAAGCATTTGCCAAACTTTCTTTTTTTCACCAAAAGAGTGATGTTAATAGTTTTAAATAAATCAAAGGATTCTATCTTGTTTTTGGGACATATTTGAAATTAATAGTAGCTAAATGTTTATCACTGCTATCGGTAGAATTTATTTGACTTTTTCCTTCAGTCTTTCATAGTTATGACAAACTTACCTTACCTCATCTTAGAACAAAGACACTTTATATAACTGAATAATTATCCTCATCTACTTCATGTTTTCATATTCCATTAACGTACAGTAAAAATGAAATCTAGCTTTAACCTTTTGTCATACAGCAAGCCTCACAATATATATTTGTTTAATTACTCTGTGAAAGTTGTATATTATATGTTGTTCATATACTTGAGATTGATATTTGTGATAATAAAGATAACTGAGGATCATGTTTGTGCAAAGACTCTAAAAAATGCATGCATGGAAAGGAAACTGTTAGACATTTGATGAAATGTAATGGCTTTTGGTGGCCAGAAGAGGTCAATCTCACATTTAAGGATCATCCCGTTACATTTAAAATAAAACAATCCCCAAAGATTGCCTTTACACAATATTTTAATTCCTCAGCATTGGCTTAGATTTTAATTTTAGAAAAGTCCATCATCCAGAGGATAACATACACAAAATGACTCAATAGCATTTCAAAATGCTATGATATGGCTGGTACATAGTAACCACTGAAAGTCCAGAATTTTAAATGAAAGCTGTGATGGCTTCCTCACTATGTGAGTGTCACTCACAACAGTAGTGTAAAAAAAGGGTTTTGACAACTTGGGAGCTTTACCATTTATTATCAAGATAGCTGAGCTCAGATTAGATTTGGAAGCCTCTTTCTGTGTCTTTGTCAACAAAATATAATAATTTTCAGACTTGTACATGCCATATTTATTCCAGAGTGTAACCCCTAGTTTTAGTATCTGGTACAAGTTTGTGTTATTGTGTCACAATAGTTTTTTTTATTGGTATCAATCAGAGCATAGAATTTATGGGTTGGAATCCTAAACAGTAATCTAATTGGTGTGAGAGGCTTTTTGTTTCTCATACTTTAGGCTCCCTTACTGATTTTTACATGCAACTCTCAAGGACTGATCGCTGTTTGTCAGCCCGTCCTGTGCAGGCTAACAATGGGCTTGAATGTCCTTCATTTGTTCACAACCTTCCAGGGAATGGGTGGATTCTAAACTCTTAAGATGTGGTTTTGTAACCTTTTCCGTTCAAATGAAGATGAGAACTTTTTTCCTACAATGGCTTGAGAAATGTCATTAGTGTATACAAAGTTGTATTATAAGGGTCAGCTGTTGATTTATCTACATTCTTCATATAAAAGACTGTTTGACAGTGATGGAAAGTATCTATCTATCTATCTATCTATCTATCTATCTATCTATCTATCTAT